CTAATTTGGTATTTTTATTATGATAATTTCTTTCTAATTTGGCCTTAGACAAATGTTCTTTAAATCTTTTGAGCAAATCTTTAGCTTCTTCCTCTTGGTGAGCATTATAATGTAAACCATCTCTAAAATGCTGACAAGTATCACACAAGTCAGTCTTGGGACTCATAATTTGAATCTCTGGTGTCAATTGATGTCATAACTTTCTAAATGCATCATATTTTAAGGATTTCAATTTGCTGTTTTCTTCCAGACCAGCTAGAAAATTTCTATACACTGATTTGTAACTCATTTCAGCTGGTAAGAATACAATTGATTGGGTTATTCTATTGATACTTCTTCCTGGACTTGGTAATCCATGAACTTTGGCATAATTTTCCAGAAAATTCTTTACTACTTCTGCAACATTTTTATCAATTATCATTTTAGTTTTCCATTGAGGCATCCTTTTAATATTGCCATGAATTCTTGGCAGAAGACCATTGTTTATCAGATGATTTCTAATATTTTCAAAATAAGTCCTGCCAATCCCTAACATATTGAGATAAGTTTCTTGACAAAGAAGTGTATTGTGGTCCCAATGGTAGAAAGTTCTTTTGTTAGACCTAGTTTTCTTTTTAAGGCGTCTACTAGTGCTTGTTAATCCACCATCCATGGTTTTAAGTTGAGCCATTAAAAATATGTCTTGTTCTGATTTAGAGAGAGCTTGAAAAGATTCCCTTAATTCTGCAAATTCTTCTTTGGGAATTCTTGAAGAGCAACCACATTTACAACCTTTTTCTAAAAAATCAATGGCTTTTTGATATTCATTAGAACCATTATATTTGTTATTACTTTTCATATACACTTATCCCTATATATATAATTTTATAATGTTATGTTCACTTTGTAGTTTTTTATAATTGTTTTAAAATTGAAAGGAAGTATATGAATGGAATAGTTTTAGGTAAATGATTTAAAAAATATGATTGTTCAGTAACCTGTGAAGAGAAATTGGAAAATTTGATCAACTTCCCCATGAAAAATAATTATGGCCTAGATTTAAATTGGCTTATCATCATTAATAATCAAAATAAGTCATCTTAAAAGCAAAAGGCAAACAATAAATGAAATAATAACAAAATTAACTACCTTTACCAATGAATTTTTCCACACATTGCTGATCATAAACAGAAAATATTATTATTGCTGTAACAAATCACATATAGTGATTTATATTTTATAGACATAAAATTCACTTAATTTATTTGAGACAATCAATTATTATTATTTATTATTATGTTCAAAATATCTTCTGAATAGATTATAATAAGATCAATTATAGTTTATTTATATTTTTATTATTTATATATTATTATATATTTTTAAGATAAAAAGGATTATCTTCTAAGAATAAAGGTAACTTGTATTTTTACAATAGTACCTGTTTGAAAATACTTATAACTTATCTTGTTGAAAAGTAACTCTTACAATTGTAGAAAAATTATATTTTTCAAAATAATCAATTTTGAAACTTAAAAATTAATGATTATTACATTAAGGTAAATAATTTGATTTGTAAAATGCAACCTACAAGAGCAAAGAAAGATGGAACTCTAAATTAATATAAAAAAAATTTAAATTGCATACAATCCTATCTCCCTTCAACAAGATTTCAAAAGTGAGTGCACCAATGGATTCAAATAATTGCTTGATTGACCTTGGGACATATAATGGTGTGATTGTTTCAGCCTTGAATTCCATGCAATCACTCTGGCAATTTTTTTATCTTGTATTTTTTGATATAATTAATTATATATCTTGGTTAAAATAAAAAATAAAATAAACAAACATGATATTGCTATTTAATACTTTCCTCATGTGTGAATTCCTTTATCCCTGCATTCATCATGATTATTATTCAATACATTTGATATCATCATTGACATAACAAACAATTGCATCACCCAAGTAGTAATGATACCAAGTCCATGCAAAAATGAAACTTTTAATAATGCATGTCTACCCAGATCTCTGGGATTCACAAAATAAATTATTTTCCTGATTATCAATTATGATTCTTTATGAATAATAAATCTGATATTGATTGCAGGTGTCAGATTTAATTAAAATTTCCTATCACCAACATGCAACTCGGTGCTATTAACACGCCTCTATCCATGGAATTTTTTTAACAAACTTTTCTAAACTTTTTGGTTCCACAGAGAGGTTTCACACATGTTGGAAGGCTTTGACAAAACTTTTCCTCAAACCAGTATGGATGCCACCCTATCCACTAATAATGCTATTTTTTTAAAAGGTAGATATGGGCATTAATTGCTGATGAGGTCCAGCATTTGTGATGATTGCACCCTTCTAATTTGAATAAAGTTGGTATTGTTGGTATTAAGCTGGCTGAAAATTCGTCTCCAGGGCCATGCCCTCCCCCCCTGGAATTTGGTTGCATCATTATATCCTCGGGGAGCGCAAGTCAGATTAGCCTTATGTACATGAGGAAGATGAGAGAATGACTGTAAGTGTTCAATGTAGCGTGTGTGCTTCAACACCTGCCAATTTCTGATAATCAAACATTGCATATTTGAATTAGTTCTTTTTCAATGGTGTATTGCCTTGACATCTTCTTGTAATTATATATTAATAATCAATCATTTATTATAAGAATCTTATTACCCAGCAAGATCTGCTCCGCATTTTGATTACAATTAAAATATTTATTAACTAAAATAAAAATATTAATACAAATAAAAAAAAGTACCTCTGGTTAGTTATTAACACATTTTCTTTAGGAGACCTAAACCAAACCAAACAACAACACTCACGTTTTGTCTCCTTGGACTCTGTCAAAAAATAAAAAAAAAATAAAAAATCAATCAATTCGCGTCTGTCCTACCAAAAAAAAAACCAATAGGATAAATAATTAATGTGTATGCGTCAATCAAATAACAAACTTTTTTTGTAAAAATGTCTTCTGGAAACTGTAAAAGACAACAATCAAAGGTCGCTGGTGAGGATTATGAGTAAGTGTTTATCATAAGGATGGTGGTGGTGGTTATCGCCCGCCACTCGTCATCACTCTAGCTATTTATTTTATTTATTTGTTTATTTATTTATTTATTATTATATTAGAAATCTCATCTTTTACCACCAAAGTATGATTTGATTTTTGACAAATTTAGTAAATATCCCATTAGAAGAAAACAATTGGCACTTTTCTCAAATATGCCCCTTGAAATATTCTTCCAGGTTTATGAAGATTTACCACCATCTGATTTGTTGGCACTGATGCAAACATGTTCAAGATTCCATTATATCTTAATGGATGATGGAAACCAACAAATTTGGAAAAAAGCAAGAACAGCTTATTTTGAAGGACTGCAACGACCTCCCCCACAAAAATGGACTGAATTACAGTATATTAGATTCTTCCTTGCTTCATCTCAATCCTGCAGATTTTGTGGTTTTATTAAATCAACTCAAATACATTGGCAGTTTCATGTAAGATGCTGTGCTAAATGTTACTGTGAAAGAACCATTATAAGAGAGTAAGTAATTATATAAAGTTTAATTGATTAAATAATCATATTTATTCATTTATTTAACAATTTCAGAGAAAAGACTATTAGAGGTGATGATTTCTTTATAGGATTACCTTATTTATTTAGGAAAAGTACAGAGGAGGTACATTTCTGGCGAAAAGATATTATTGAGAAAGATTATTATGTTAGAGAACATGGATTAAAACCTGTTGAAACTTATAATGAGGAAGGTAAAAAACTGCTTGAGGTTCAAAAAAAATTCATGGAAGAATGTGAGGATTGCAATAAAGAATGCAGTTTGTATATGAAAAAATCAAAAATATTTATTGAGGAAATCAACAAACTTGTTGATAAAATTATTGAGGAGGGGAAATTAACATTAAAATACAGATTTCATTATATCCAATATTGTCTCACTTCATACAAAAGAGTGATTTTCCATTTTGCTGAGGTTAAGGAACAACCTTCAAAAGAATACTGGGAAAGATTAAAAAATCAAATAATCTATGAAGCAGAAAAGCCACACCAACAGAGACTTATATTGGAATACTTGTTAAAAACTTGGCCTCGCCTTGGACCTAATAAACAAGTTGCTAAAACATTCTCTGAAAAGATAGCCAATCCTCTCAGATACTCTAAAGTTGATCTTTATATGATTCTTCAAAATTGTCATAGTTATAGGGACCCACCAATATATCAAGGTGATGCCTACACTATTTATTCTGAGAGTTACCTTAAAGATCAAGTAGTACCAGTGTTAGAAGAAGAGGCAAAAAAGCTAAATTTATTTGGTGATTATAATAAATGAAAAGATCAAATATCACAAGAATCATGCCAGAATGAACATAGTAGATCTATTGAACACAAAAGAAAACTTTTGGTTTATGAAGTTGATTATTAGTTCAAGGTCTTTTTTTTTTATGTCTATTACCATCATTAATTCCTTCTGAAGTCTATCAGAATGAATGGAGATCTGTTAAATCTTATTATAAAAAAATTACTCGTGTGTAAAAAAAAAATTAGTATTTTTATTATTATTAGAACAAATAATGCATAATATGTATATATATATATATATATATTAATTAAATTATAAATAAAAAATTAAATTTCCTTTTGCATGATTTCAATCCCTTCAATTAATTGGTTTCTCTTGTTATTATTAATAATTCTTTTTTTTATTGCTAATTCATGGAAAAAAATAAATATATGTATAAAAACCATTATATAAATAATTTTTAAAAATCATAAGGTTTTCCCTATGCTATCAATATAAAATCATCCTCAGTAAAACCTAGATTTTTTAACAATTTCTCAACTACATTTATCATACCAGGTTGTCCACAAACAATTATTTTACTGTTAGGATCAAGTTTAGGTTTTTTCTTATCATTGGCAGTACTACTACTATATGTTTCACTAAATTGACTATCAATTTCAGAATCACCATTTATATCAACAGGTGATGATGGACTTTGACTTGAATCAACTAATGCACTATTAAATATATGAGGATTTAATGGTCGTTGTGGTGATAAAATTGTTGAATAGTGTTGGAACTGTGGTTGTCGATGTTGTTGTGATGATGATGTTCTATAATGTCGACTATAATTATGACTTAATGATGGTGGTAGATTATCATTATCATTGTCATTATTATTTGGAGGAGGAATTGTACTAACTGGTGAATATACTGTATTTGTATTAGTGTTGCTATCGTTAGGATTACTAACTGTTGGTAAATTTGTTGTATTTGTTGTATTGTGAGATCAAAATTCCACATCTCACACAAATCACTTGGATTTGATTAAAATATTATTTATTCCGTTTTATGGCAGTATCCAATTATTTAATAGTTTGTTTAGGTACACACTTAGGTGTCCTGGCAGTTAATAGTGCTCTAGCTATTACTCCATGAGAGGGTAAGTATGTCTGACTTCCCTTCCGGTAACATTTTCTCAGCAGTTGCTATGTTTGCTGCCTGAGCCGGAATGTGTCAATTATTATCCCTTCTGATAATAATCCCAGTATCTTCCTTGATACCAATATGTTGTGTTTATATGGTTCAGTGTTTCTTAACTGACCACACCTAGCTAGGGTCTCCACCTGTTTAGGCGTTGGCCTAATCTAAAATAAAAATAAAGAAAATAAAATTAAAAGAATAATACACACACTATACTTATCAAAGGTGTCCCCCTGGTAAGATAGTAATTAATTAATAATTAGGTTAGGGTTAAAGGTTTATATGGTTTAGGAAGCGGGTGGATAATTCCACTGGCAATAGATTATTTTAAGAGATATTTATGTTTGTATTTTATTAATAAGATATTATTGTTATTACAAGATAGTAGTTAAGAATGAATTAACTGATGAACTTCTTTTATCATGAAAGAGAAATTTACAACGTATTTATACATGTTAAAGGTTCTATCATCTAGTTATCCGACTTCATTGAAATCCTAATTTGTACTAATTAATATATTCTTTAAATATCATTGAACCTTCTGTGTAGAATTATTTTCAAGTAATTTCTTGTCAATATGAGTCATGTAAAATTCTTTCGTTTAAATATTATTCTGAGACCTTGTAATTCGTTACATTTAGAATGTTGGAATATTTATATCTCCAATATTTGGGTTATTTTCCAAGAGCTATTTATTTGATTGGTGCGCCTTATTAATTAGTGTAACATTTATTAAATTGTACTGGTTTATTTCTTGTTGAGTTATTCCGTGATAATCGTTTCCAAATTTTCACTTCGTGATACATGTAAATCATTTCCGATTTATATGTTCGTCTCCCGTGATTTATAATTTACTATTTTACAGTATTGTTACCATCATTAAATTGCATAATATTTGGTCTCTTATTTTTATTAGTTAATGAGCTAATATATGACAAAGGAGTATCAAGTTGTGATGAACTTCTACTAACTATTGGTGAATTTGTTGTATTCATTGTATTGTTATCATCAATAAATTGTATAGAATTTGGCTTCTTATTTTTGTCAGTTAATGAAGCAACATATGATAAAGGAGTATTAGTTCGTGATGGACTTCTACTAGCTATTGGTGAATTTGCTGTATTTGTTGTATTGTTATCATCAATAAATTGTACAGAATTTGGCTTCTTATTTTTATCAGTGGATGAAGCAACATATGATGGATGTTTTTTATATGGTAGTAGACTAGTAGGATTAGTTGGAGAATTTGGACTAGTAGAAGAGCTTGAACTAGTAGGAGAACTTGGTACAGTTATATTATTGTTGTTGTTGATGATTTCATAATTGTTGCTGCTATTGTTATTATTGACAATCAAGTTACTTGTCTTTGAATTTAACCAATCTAAAATCATTTCTTGATCAATTTCGCCACTTTTCCCCTTCCAATCTTGAATTTGTTCATCTAGTGCATATGTTATAGTTAGCATGCCCCTACTACTCATTTCATACTCTTCTAGTTATTATATATAATAAAAACAAAAAATGCAAGACAATCATTTCTATATTAGGTTTTAGGCATGGGTTCAGTATTAGTATTAATATTAGGGTTACGCGGCCAGCCCTGATATGTAGCGACAACTAGTCGTGTAACTCCCCAATTTTCTGATTTATTAAAAAGGAAACGAATCTAGTTAATTGAGATTTTATCTTTAATTTAAGTAAAAAATTTCAACTTAAAAATTCAAGAAAATTCAAATATTCAAAATGGTTTTAGAAGCAACAATGATCGTGTATGAAATCTGTTTTCTTTATTTTACGATTATAATGATTTTAATTAACATTATATATAAAATATAAAGATTGGATAATTCAGAATGGATGCGTAATGGTGATTATACACCAACTAGACTTGAAGCACAAAAAGATTGTGTAAATCTTTTATTTGGATCAAAAATTCAAGCTAACCCGGAAAACACTGTAGGTTTATTGACTATGGCTGGTAAAGGGTATATATATATATATATAAACATTTCTATCATATATTATGTCAGATTTAATTAAATTTAACAAAAATTTTCTACACACATATATTCACTTAGTCCAGAAGTTCTTGTAACTTTAACTTCTGATGTTGGTAAAATATATTCTGCATTACATAACATTAAAATCGGTGGAAAACCAAATCTAACAACTGGTATTCAAGTTGCACAGGTAATCTACAACTATTATGATAATAATTAATATGGATCACTGTCATTGATTAACATGATATCTAATTTTGTAATAATAATTACTATTATTATTATTTTCTTTATTTTTTTAAAAAAATATATAGCTTGCACTTAAACATCGACAAAATAAAAAATCAAAAACAACGCATCATAGTTTTTATTGGCAGTCCAATTGATATTGAAAAGAATGCATTAGTAACGTTGGGTAAGAAAATGAAAAAAAATAATGTTGCAGTGGATATTATTAACTTTGGAGAAGAATCAGAGAATAATTCAAAATTAGAAGCATTCATAAACGCTGTCAATAGTGGTGATAACAGGTATTAATGATAATCAATCAGCAAGATTAGTAATAATAGTAGTATTATAATCGTTGCTAAATTATTACATAATCATTAGTCATATTTTAACAGTTCCACCAGGACCTCATATACTTAGTGATGCATTATTATCATCGGCTATATTAGCGGGAGAAGATGGTGTTCCTGCTGGTTTTGCCGCAGGCGGCGGAAATAGCTTTGAGTTTGGTGTTGATCCTAATCTTGATCCCGAACTTGCTTTGGTAAATATTCATAAATACAATGTTTATATATATAATCTAGTTTTGTTTAGTTCAATCAATCGATCAATAATATATAAATCAATTAACGAAATGAATAATCAATATATAGGCTTTACGTATTTCACTAGAAGAAGAGAAGGCAAGACAGGAAGCTAAAGCAGCAGAGGTATCCACCACTTCAAATTCTAATCAAGAAGCAGAGTCATCAACAATGGCTATTGATCAAACAATCGGAGGAGGCAGTACTGATAAAGCTGAACTTAGTACAATTATTAACACAGAAAATCAAGTATGTTCAATTGATTTAGGGAAGCAAGGAGGAGAGGAGGAGAAAGAGGGTGATAAAGATGTATTTTTAAATTTTAATGGTGATAATGTTAATATTAATACTGTTGCTATTTAATAACAGACTGATGATGTACATATGGAGGAACTTACCGAGGATGAACAGATGGCTCGTGCATTACAAATGTCAATGCAAGGAGATGGTGAATCTGTAAGAATTATATTCATTTATCTTAACATTATTATTAAATTCTGACTATTATTAATAAGAATTATTTGGGGGGGTTTTTTTTTTAGAATGTTAAGATAACAACGGATGATTATAATGTTATGCAAGATCCAGAATTCATGAGTGAACTGCTTCAATCTTTACCAGGAGTTGATCCTAATGATCCACAAATTAGAAATGCTTTACAAGGTTACCCATCATCATCTACAAACAACGACAACGATAATGACAATGAAGAAGATAAGAAGAAAAAGAAGAAAGAGGAAGACAATAATCAATAAAATCATCATTATTATTTATTAATTTAGTAGTAGCAATAGTTATGGTGATATTATATTGCAATTATTATAATCAGTGTTATCATTCTTAGTTGTAGTGAACGAAATGCTAAAGCAATGTTATTTGATTTTTTCTCACAAAATAAAAAGGAAAAAAATTTTTTTCAGACAAAAATAATAACTCTTAAATCAATAATATTGCATGTATTAATTAAGTTTAAATAAATTATGTATATAGGTAAATGTGATGCATTAAATTTCACAATAGCAACAACGGTTGCGTGAATTGTTTTTAAAAAATAATTCATTCATTAATTTTTTAATTACAAATAAGAAACAATTTTCGTTTATTTAAAAAAAGATTTTTAAAAATTTGCAATTTATTGTTGTTGTTGTTGTTGTTGTTGTTGTTGTTGTTGTTGCAATTATCAATCTTGTTATGATTATTATGTTTGTTATTATCACCTTGATCTAAAAATTTGGAAAATTTTGTTGGTGACGATTGCGTCCTCCTGATCTGTTTGAACTAGTTGCGATATTAAATTTATCAACCAGCTGTGAATTTAAATGTTTTTTGCATTTTAGAGCAAACTCTATACATAAATAAATATTCACATTTATACTCTTATATAATTTGAATACCTCATTGACACAATTTGTTCCTTTTGTTATGGTAGCCAAGTATGAAGTCAACAATACATCATTATATTCCTAAAAATATTATTTATTTCCCATATAAAAATTAAAAATTATTTTTTGAAGGAAAATAAAAAATTTTTTGCAAAAAAAAATTTTATTTTTTGATAATTAACTGTTAAAAACTCTTGATTGAAATCTGATCCATCTATTGTTGGTAAACGATTACAAAGTCCAGCGATTTGACGAAGAATATCATGATCTACTGTTGATGGATCTATTTATCAATATATAAATAAATAAATGTTAACAACTCCATCTATCTAATAAAAAGCAAAATTTTATTGATTTTGCTTACCATTCTTGGAATTAACAAGATATTTATGTAGAAGTTTTATTCTGGTATGTAGCATCTTAATTGCATTTCTTTGAGTGGTTAAATGCGCAATCACTTTATCACATGAATGTCAACAAATATTCGTAAATAATGATAACAATTATATAATAACCATAATTATATAGTTTATACTAACGTGAAGATCCTTCACTTCCGTCACCAATAGTTATATGAGCAACATGATCAACAGCAATACGCTCAGCTTCACCGGTTTCAATTTTGTATTGAGATTTTATAAATAATGTTTGTGCTTGTCCATTAATTATATCAATGATTGATTCGTAGACAGTGATTGGAAGATTTTTAGATGTGACCATCTCGAAAGGATTCATTTGTAAAAAAAGCGGACTTTCATTAAATTCGATCATCTAATAAATAAATAAATAAATAAATATAAATATAAATGTATATATAATTATTAATTAAATGTGTCAGTAACCTGCTTGTGAATTTCTATGTCTTCTTCGGTAGGTTGTATTCCCAAAGTATACCACCCCAAGAAATCAAATTGAGGAAAAACTTGTCGAACTATTTATCGCATTCACCACCAAGAAACAATAATAATAATATTGGAATATTTTTAGAACAAAGAAATATTTTTAAGCAAATAAAATAAATAAAAATGAATTTTTTACATTGCTCTTGTTTTGTCACAAAATATTCATTATTTATATGAATCCTTCCATCAATTAAATCATAAGCTAATTCATACGAATTAGTAATCTCGACATCACGCCCTGACTGTCTTCCAAGAAGAGCTCCAAGCACCGTTACTATAATACGCATTTTTTATTAAATATAATATGTTAGAATAAGTTTAATTAAATAATACAATAATTCCAATATTATTATTATAAACATTACCATCTGATTGAGTTTGCATTTTTGTTCTTATATAATGATCTGATATATTTAATAGTGTTAATGGATGCCTATTTTTTTTTATCCCCCAAAAAAAAACTTATATAAAAATCAAGAAAGAAATCTGAAGTTCAAATTGAATCCAACAAAATATTTTGATACTAACAAAGAAACCATCAATCCAGAATTATTTGGTGCATTTGAAACAACCGAGGAAGTTGGGACATTGTTGGTAGTTGTTGTAATTGTTGAAGTGGTAGTAGCAGCAGCAGCAGCAGCAGCAGCAGCACTATAATTATTAATGATGCTGATAATATAAAATGTAGTTGATCAAATTTTAGAGGTTCAAATTTTATAAAGTACTTCCACAATTTTTTATTTATTTGACTTCTTCATTTCTTAGATTAGCAATGAGTAGATTTCCCCCCTTTACCTAATTTTTTTGCTTCTTTTTCTCGTTTTTTTCACAAACAATAAAGCAATAACATGCATGTTCCATGGTAAATTGTGTAAAAAATACAAATGTTTAAAATTTTATTCTCTCTTAAATTTGAAAGTTATGCTCAGAATCTCACGACCAAATTTGGGAATGATTTTCTTTTAATGCAATATGTTCGTTATTAAATCAACATGTACATTGTAGAAAGTATTAATATAAAAAAAAAGTTATTACACGAAATTTACTTTGTTCAATTTTTTTAAGTGCATAACAAAATTCGGAATTTTCAAAATGCTAACACTAATACTAATATATTAATATTAATATGAAATTAATTAGCTTCCACTAAAACATATCCACCTGGACATGAACCATGTACAAAACCTGATGATCCAAGATGTAAGCCTAAAACAGCAGAGTAAGTTTCAGATCTGTGATTTCTATTTTTCTTACTTTAAAAAACATTCATAATTTTCCAAAAAAATTAATTAAATTAATCAATTTATTGCAAAAAAAAAATAGTCCAACAGTGGTCAGTACAACAGAAGAGAATGAAATAATCACAGATCCACCAAAACCTAAAAAAACTACAACATCCCAATCCCAATTAGGCTCAAGCCAAAAAAAATCAACCATAACACAATTCAAAACATACACCACCACAGAAACATTATATTTCCCAGGATACACCACTTATACATCTTCAACAGGGACTGATGGAGAATTAACCACATATGCAACTTACATTCCACCAAGTACTGTTGTGGTGATCAAGAAAGTTACTTCAGCAACTGTAGAAGAAATTCAAGAAAGTAATCCTGTTTCAGCTGGACATCTTGATCTGGAACTCTCAGTTTATAATTTATATAGCATTGCTACATCATTATTTGTTATTTCTGTAACAATGCTTTACTTAATTGTTGCTTAATTAAATAATAGTATTAATAATGGGGTTTCTTAATAGAACAATAGTATTGTAACAATATTATATATATTTGATTTGTAAAGCGTAATATTTTTAAAAACTTTTAAATTAATTAAAATATCTATATATTACTGTCAAGATTTTATTCATTTTATTCGAACAATTCGTTTTATTCTAATTATTCGTTTATTCATTTTATTCTCTTACTCGTTTTATTCGCTTTATTCGAACAATCGAATTCATAATAATAACGAATAAAACAAATAATTCGAACGTATGCGTTTATTCTGTTGAACCCAAAATTTAGCACGATATGATGATGCGAGTTGG